TTTCATCTACAAGTTGAAATGTCTCTTCCTGGCGCTCACATCCTTTATTCCAATTGCCATTCTCTCGGCTCCTGGGGACTCTACAGGACACAGTGTGGTAGTTTACATATAATTAGTCCCCCTACTATTAGGAGGTGTGGCCTTGTTAGACGAAGTGTGTGTGTGGGGGGGGGGTGGCTTTAAGGTTTCCTATGCTCAGGACACTGCCCAATGTGTCACTGGATTTCCTTCTGCCTGCATGAGGTAAGACTCTCAGCTGCTTCTCCAGCACCATGCCTGCCTGCCTGCCACCATGCTCCCCACCATGATGATGATGGACTGAACCTCTGAAACTATAAACCACCTCAATGAAATGTTTTCCTTGTAAGAGTTGCCGTGGTCATGGCGTCTCATCACCGTGATAAAAACCCAAACTCAGACAGCTGGTCCACACTGGTGGGTATCTCAGTCTCATGACAGGACGTTTAAAATCCCCGTTATGAAGCCAAAATGGTTCGAATCCAAAACGTCCCCCACAGGTTCACATCTTTAACAGTTATTCACTCTCTAGGTGTTGGCATTGTTTGAGAGGCTGTGGAATCTTTAGGGGACGGAAGTGGGTCACAAAGGGCAGGACTCTGAGGTCACAGCTCTGCTTCTGGGCTCAGTCCCCCCAGCATCCTGCCTGCTTTGATGTGAATGCTGTCTGTCATAGGCTCCCCCCTCCAGGACCTACCTCATCTAAAGCCCTCTGCACCTGTGAGCCCAAACCAACCCTCCCGTAATCTGCTTCTGTAAGATAGTGAGGTCGGAGTAACGCAACAGTAGCAACCACGGACCTCCTTCTCAGAGATCTTGAAGGTATCCACACAGCGTGGAGACGTGATAGATTGCGCTGTGAATGCTCACATTTTTTCACATTTTCACTGGTTTTGCTGACGATCACTTGCCAACTTACAAGGAAAGTATTTTAGCTTAACTTCTCAAGACCAACACCCTTTCCACATTCCCATTTCAGTCTACATTTCTGCAATTTATAGTAAGATAATGGCCATTCTCTTGTATTGTGTTGCAAAATTTTTGAGACTGTCTTTCTGGAACTTAAAATTCCCCACAATTTTTTTTTTTTTTTTAAGTAGTACAAGGGCACTCTGGTTCCCACACCGTTCACAAAAGCTTATTTATTTAGCACATTAGAGAAGCACATTGGGATACATGGGACCCACCCACGCTGTGCTTCCTTCGGAGGGGAAAAATGCCTTCCCGAGCCCACAGGGGTGTGGGAAGCCCTGATCTCTTCCTTCCCTCCTCCATGACCCAGGTGAAAAGGCTCCCAACGCCCCTCTCCTTGCCCCCAGCCCCTCCCTCCCGGGGAAAGAGGAAACCGTGCAGTCCAGCAGCAGCTGCTCCAAGTGTACAATCAAGGAGGCAGGTTCTGCTCTGGGAGGGAGGGTGGCAGAGGGCGGGCAGAGGGCGGGCAGAAGCCGGGCAGAAGCTATGGCAAGAATCCCGCAGGGCAGGGCTGACATGTGGCCCAGAGACTGCAGCAGGCGGAAGCAGAGGCTGGACAGCACGTCTAGGAGGTTACATGGACAGGCCTTGCTATCAGGCAGAAGTCCACCATCTCCTCATTCATTCATTCATTCATTCATGCATTTGTTTATTCAGTGGACACTTACTGAGAACATACCATCTCCCAGATTTTCCTCGTTAAACGACTTGGCTGAATCTAGCCCGTTACTGCCTTTGTAAGCGGTTTTACTGGAGCTCAGCCACATTCCCATGGCTTCTGCATCCTAAGAACGGAGTGTATGACAGTTGTGACGAAGGCTATGAGACCTGCGAACCATGATGTTCACTATCTGCTCCATCATAAAGACAGTTTGCCAAACCCTGCTTTGGAAAACACTGGATGAATCCAGCAGAAGTCGAGTTCTCCCTATATTAATCAGGAGAATTAATAACCTAATATATATAGTGCTCTGAACCGTTAGCATCCCTCAAGACCCCATGTTGACACCTAATCTCCACGTGAGAATATCTAGGAGTGAGGCTTTGGAGTGATTAGGTCCTGAGGGCTGGAGCCTCACACACCGGTTTAGAGGAGACCTCACAGAGACCAAGAGCCTGAACCAATGCACCTTTGACCTCAAGGTCACCGACAGAAGAGGGCTGAACATGAACCAGGAAGCAGTTCTTATCAGACACACCAAGTCTGATGGCACCGGATCTTAGGCTGTCCAACCTCCAGAATCTCAAGAACTAAGTTTGTCTGTTGTTTTATCAGTCGTCAGTTTATGGCATTTTGTCTTAGCAGCCCAAAGCAACCGGTAAGACACACTGGCTGGTCTGTTTTTAAATACTCTTCTGGGTGCCTGTCACCGGACCCCTCCCCCATTTCTAAACACTTCTTAGTGCCCATCACCTAACCCCTCTCCCCAATTTCAAAGCCTACATGAAAATACCAACTAGGAAAAAGACAATTCCAGAATAGATTGTTTCGTTTTGTTTTTTTAGATTTCTTCATGTTATATGTACGAATTGTTTTGCCTGCATGTATGTCTGTGCATCACAAGCATGTCTGTGCTGAAGGTCAGAAGAGGACATGAGATCCCCGGGAACTGGGGTTATAAGTGGTTATGAGCCACCATGTAGGTGCTGGGAATGGAACCAGGGTCTCTGCAAAAGCAATTGCTCTGTTTGTTTGTTTGTTTTTTGTTTTGTTTTGTTTTATTTTTGAAACAGTCTCTCTATGTAGCCTTGACTGTCTGGAACTTACTACAAAGACCAGACTAGCCTCTAATTCTGCCTGCCTCTGCCTCCCGAGTGCTGACACACCCAGCTAGAACAAGTACTGATGATTTCTGATCCATCTCTCTAGCCCCTAGATTAAGGGCTAATAATAAATTATCTAGCTATGGATCTGAATGACAGAACACATATGAGTGTTTTTAAAGGGGGAGGGAGCTACAGAAATCAAGTTTATAGTACACTGAAATATTTTAACTAACACATGGTAATGTTACAGAAAGTGGAACAATCATAGAATGAATACCTCATAAAAATCACAAGACTGTTAAGCACTCCAAGTACAAATCTTTCATTGTTAAGGATTTAAACTCTTCTCTCCAAAGAAATACATACACCATGTAAAACTACACTAGAAAGAAGGAATATATATGTTAACAAGAAGAGCGCAAGGAAGAAAAGGTACAGTCGTGTGTGTGTGTGTGTGTGTGTGTGTGTGTGTGTGCGCGCGCGTGCGTGTGAACTGAAACAGATGCAAACTAAAAAGGAGACCAAAACACACATTTTCCCCCAATTATTTATCCACCTACTATTTGTTTCTAACCCCAGTGATTAAAAGGCCTCCCCCTAACTCTATCGGTGGTGTCAGAACCCAGCACCACGTTTGAGTGCCCATAGGAGCACACGGCAGCAGCACTTCCTCCCCGGAAATACTGAGGGGGCACACTATAGCCGCATGCGATCATGGCAGCGCTATCCAGCACTGTCTGCAACCATAGAAATGATCTCTATTCGCAACGGTCAAAATCACCACTGAACACTCCCAAGCACCTGAAATGAAGCTCCTACAAATCGGTACAATCAAGTACCGGATTTTATTATTACAGTTATTTGTTGAGAACTCCACAGGTGAGTCCCGAGTCTGCATCATTTCTCTCCTCCCCCTCAAGTTTACGATCTCTTCTTCCATAATTAGTAGTTACACACACACATACATAGACCTACCCACCACCCGACTGAGTTCATTTATGCTGTTCTTATGTACGTGTGTTTAGGGGTGACCGCTTGAGATTGGATTAATGCTTATTATTGTATTATTATTATTTGGGTGTTTTGGTGTTTCTAGTTTACTGGAGTGTTTTGTTTTGTTTTGTTTTGTTTTGAATGACAGTCTTATGTAATCCAAGATGACCTCAAACTCAAAAGCCTCCTGCCTCAGCCTGAGTGCTGGGATTAAAGATGTATCCCACACTGGGCTTAAAAAAACGCATTTTAAATTTTTATGAATTTAAATTAGCAGAGCTAGAGCCAGGTATGCTGGGACACACCTTTAATCCCAACACTTAGGAGGCAAAGGTAGGTGGGTCTCCAAGTTTGAGGCCAGCCTGGTCTACAAAGCAAGTTCCAGGACAGCCAGGGCTACAAAGAAAAACCCTGTCTCAAAAAACTAATAAACAAACAAACAAGCTTGCAGAGCTGCATGCGGTCGGCAGCTACTGTCCTGTACAGTGCAAGTCTAAAGTGGACGTTGACTCCACAGGCCACTCCTGCCTTTCATGAAAGGCGTAATTTTTTTTTTCAAGATATAAACTTCCGTTCCAATACAAAAGCTTATCACGCTTGCTTTAGGTGGCAACAGCCAAGTCCTCTGTTTCCTGCAATTTCATCTGCTTTTCTTGATTATCCAGGTCGGAAACCCAACTCTTTTTATGAAATATCACCCTGAATCTGTTGTCTGTACACGGCTTTGTGAATGGGGCTGGAGGAGCTGGAGATATGGCTCTTGTAGAGGATCTGGGTTGGTTCCCAGCATCTACATGGCTGTACCTCCAGTTCTACAGGACCCAACACCTTCCTCTGGACTCTGTGGCATTGCACATATGTGGTACACATGCAGACAAGTAGGCACTCGTACATACATATAAATAAAAAAAAATTGAAAACAGGATTGTCATGATACAAAGACTGTTTCACCCAAAACGTTATCAAAATATTCTTCTCCCTCTTATCAAAATTAAAACCAAACATCTACTTTTAAGCATTAGTTCACAGAAGAGAAAAGCCAGCATGGGCTGTGTGTAAGGTAATGAAGACCACATCTGGGAAGGTCAATCTTGTCAATTTGATCGAATTGAGGGACTCTTAGGAGATTCACAGAGCACACTTCTAGGTATGTCCGTCAGGGCATTTCCAAACACTGGCTCGTGGGACAGCAAATCAGAAGGGACCTGCCCTAAATGAGGGCAGCACCATCCAACAGGCTTGCCATACTTGCCAACAGAAAACTGTAGGGGAAGGCAGCTAAGGAGACTCGAGCTCAGATCTTCCTGCGTGAGTGGTCTGTTGCCCCCGCCATGATTGGAGGCATCACGCTCCAGCCTGTCAGTGTGACTCACACCTCTGGCTCTTCAGGAGGCCGCCAGGCCTTTAGCCTCAGGCTGGAGCCCCATGACGGTCACCTTGGTTCTGAGGCCCTCCCTCTACTAGAACTGAGCACCTACTGCGTTCCCTGGCTCTTCAGTGTGCAGACGGCCACTGAGGGACAGTCCAGCCTCAGACTGTGTGAACCACTCTAATAAATCCTTCTGGATACGAGGGAGACACCGTAACTTCCGTTCCGGAGAAGCCTGACTGATCAATAAACAGCATGTGACGACAGAGAGATGGCCAGTCATCCAAACACGGAAGACACTGAGTTAGGAAAGTGCCAGTCAAGCGCTAAGGGTCTGATTTCGTATGCACGACCCCTGTAGCCGTGTGTTCCAGGAATTCAAAAACCCAGCACGTACGCCACGCCACACGTCACTATTACAGAGTCACCAGGAGAAGGGTCTGCAGGCAGGCTCTGTCCTGGGTCTTCCATCGAACACCTGTGACGTAAGGCTGCTCCCAAATGTCCGTTTCCAGCCTAGCTACCTACCTCCCCCTGCCTACCTAGCTACCCAACTCCGGCTGGGCATCTCACAGTTGCTTAAGTCACTATTCACTGACTCGGGAAATACTCACTGCACACCAAACACTGTTTCAGGGGGCTGGTTACCTCTCAGTATGGTCCCCACTTTCAGGGTCCCCACCTTGAGAAACTGCTTCCAACTCTTCTGTGTGCAAACCAGGAACAGGGACCTTGTTTCCTTCCCAGAGTTCCCATTAATTACTCGGTCCTAAACTTACCTTCTAAATCTCCATCTTGGTCACATTAGTTCTGCTCTCTACTGCTAATCACCTGGAGACTAAGAAGCTGGTAAGCGGGCAATCCTGCCCTCAAGCGTGTATCTGGAAACACCGATTTTTGTCACAAGCCAGGGTTCTCCTGGTGTCTAAGGGGGAGGAGCCAGGGGTGGGGCTGAACATGCCACAGTGCCAGTCCTTCGTGTCAAAGACTCACTCATCCTTAGATGTCAGTGGTGAGCTCTAGAACTGACTTGCGTAGACAGGAGAGGGATGCACACCAAGATCTTATACTGTGCCGCTTCCTAAGAAATCACCCTGCTTCAGGAGCACTGCGGTGTAATAAATAGGACTATTGTCGTTTTTGATCAGACTCTACTCAAGGGAAAGGTGTTTTTCTGTGTGCACACGGTCAATACTCACTGATGCATGCTCTCCACTCCAGCTATGATCATGATGCAGTAGGAAATCCCACTTTGTACGAGGAAGTGTAAGGCATACCTATAAAAAGTGAGAATGTGTTAGAAGCGGCCACAACCATCAAGTTCAAATAATACAGGTAGAAAAGTACTTAAGGTAACCTAGAACATCCTCATACAAAACAAAAAAAAAAAAATAAATGACTAAACCTTCCCAAGCCCGCATGACATTCTGCAAACACTGGGGACAGGGAGCCCAAGCTTCAGACCAACGGAGCTGGATAAATAAAATCAACCTTTACAAGCCCAGCTCAAGGCCCCAGCACTCCACATAACCTAGCAACGGGAAAGCAGTGTGGGGCCCTGTGGACCGAGGATGGCCACCTTCCTCGTAAGACAAGGAACAGAAATTTTAAAAGGAGTAATAAACATGGATTTCAGAAAAGCCCTGGCAGAATGCCTGCGATCTCCCCAAACTTCTCCAACAGCAGCTTTCTACTTTGTGTTTACTTTTTCAACAGTGTCATTCACAAAACAAGTTACCAAAAACACCCAAATCTATCCTCAAAGCACAGTGGTGAAGTCAGATGAACTTCCTTCTAAAAAGGCAATAATTTGCTATGATATATTTGCTGGTTGGCACGACAGTTCTTTCTAGTACCCCAATGCAGAAATCACCATTTAATGACTAGAGTAATGTATCTATTCACTTCACAGATTTCAGGCCAAATATGATTTGGACCTCTGGGACTCAGCTCAGCCCAAACCATCCCTGAGATCATACCTCACACATGTGCATATGCACATACACACACTTGGCCTCTTTCAACTCCCCTTTCTGACGGCATGATTTATAGTAAACTTTTGCAGCTATATACAAGTTATTAAGCTCTTAGTATACAATTAAAATTACTTTTTAGCTTCATCACAGACTATCAGATAATATGAATGTGGAAAAACTGCTTACACATTTTTCTATAGACTTATTACAAATAAGGAGTAGGTTCCAGGTCTGTAGGACCCACTATACAGACTAGAGCAGGCTGCATCTCTACACACGCACACACACACACACACACACACACACAGGTATACATACACACACCACAAACACACATCCAGAAACCAATGACCTGGAATGCTGCTATAATCAGAAGGCTATGAGGAGACAGGAAAACATATGCAAATATAAATGAAAACAGAATGAAACTTTAAAGTAATTGATGGAAATGTCATCCACCTATTTATTGTCAACACCAACAGTTCACTAACAGACCTTTAGGCACGTTGTTGGGAACTGCTAGGTACCTCTAAGGACTTTTAATACTTAAAAGTATCTTCAACAAGGTGGAGGAGCATGTCTGACTGAGGGTGACTGAGGAAAGTGTTTTCTTTTCCAGGTCAGTTTCCTTGGGACATAAAGACTTTGAAGTCAACAGTAAAACACCTCAAACACCGCCAGCCCTCGTGGCTTGACAGCCTTCAGGCTCCCACCCCCGGCATGCTCAGCCGCCTTTTGGGTGTGAGGTAACAGCCTGCCACGCTAGTCTCTGCTGCTGGGGTAAATCAAGCTTCAAACACTGACCCGCTCTAGACTCATCTGTTTTGTGAACTCCGCAATTAGCAGCAGGTTCCCTACTCTACTCAGTTAGACATCCCTTCCACTGCCCCTCACTGAGTACCTCACATGGTATCATTAGTATCAGGCACACAGGAAGCACACTCTAGCCACTTCAGGTGTTCGGGATCACGAGGTAACACATGGAAAGTCTAGAGAGAGGTGCAGGACTGTTGCAGAATTTTTTTTTTTTTTTTTTTTTTTTTTTTTTTTTT